CGCAGCATCCCTTAATAATGTACGCACGTTGAATATAATATATGTCCCTCGTGAATTTCTCAGAATGGTATGTCGGGAGGGGTCAATATGTAGATAAGAGTTGATATCGATCATCTGTTATTAACAAATGAGAGCGGAAGGCGTCGATTAAAATTCTGTCCGTAGCAGCATCCGACACTCTCCCTATACCTCCAGCAACCGCCCATTAAAGTCCAAGGACCTTTCCCACTTTTCTACCACTTAGAGGAATCTCCAGTTATTGCGTTCCTTTCATACGCAAGGTATAGGCCTAGTTCCTTCTTGGTTTACCCACGCGCAGCCTTGTCGCGTCTCTGATGATAATTCTTATCTCGAGAGTGGCCACGTGTTCAAGGAGCGAACTCGAGATATAATCAGAATCCTGAAATGAGAAAAATCCTGAAACGAAAGCGAACTTCGCAGTTACATCCCCCACGTGCTAAGGGTAATGACAATTTTTTTTGCTTTTGAAAGCGATACGCTGATAAGAATTATTGATACGCGTAAAGCTGTATATACAATCTGTATGTGTATATATGTATATATTTATATACGTGACGATATATATTTCCGTTTAAATTTACGAAGATAACGTCTTTGGTAATCCGAGGATAAAATGTTATTTTTTTCATTTTCTTTTCTCTCTCGAGTCAGTACGAACCAAGGGCGGCCCTACAATTTCGCTAACTAAAAAATTGAGAAGGCCTGAGCAAAGTCAAATATCAATTCCCGTCTTTATTTTTCGTGTTAGGGCACATAGCATTACTTTTCCATTTCCTCCCATAGTCCCTTTTCTCTTGAGCGAAGTGATTTTCCGAGAATGACTATACGGGGCAGATAGCCTGGAGGGGATAGCCAGAAAATAAAGTATATATAGAGAGAAGCCGGAGAAAACGTGGAACGGTGTGCTTCTTCAGACACCGAAGGAAGTAATAACGAATGTATCGTGGAGTTTCCGCTTGACTTCCATTATTTTTCATTTGTTTCCCGGGGGCGCACCAAGATCCTGAATTATTCATAGGGTTCATGAAACTTCGTTTAAAGCATAATTCGCTGAATCGTATATGGGTGCCCACTGGTAAATTTTACCTACATGTGTATTCAACTCGAAAGAAACTTTCTTACAAATACGCTACGTTACCCAATATAAGTAATTCACGATATAGGTATACCTACGTAAAAACGTCAGAAATAAGGGTATACCTGACCACTTTAAATTTACGAATTTAATCTGCTTATATGCATATTCATAAAAATTTCACTTGAGAATTTAATAACGTACAACAGTAAAATATAAATAAGAATCACGTGGGGGGGGGGGGGGGGGGGGAAAAAAAAAAAA